ATTATGGGCCTTAAGCCACGAATTATGGGCCTTAAACTACGGGCCTTAAACCACGAACTATGGCCTTAAACCACGGGCCTAAAACCACGAATTATGGGCCGTACAACACAGGCCTTAAACCACGAATCATGGGCCCTAAGCCACGGGCCTTAAACCACGAATTATGGGCCTTACACCACGAATTCTGGCTAAGCCACGAAGGTCATTAAGGTTTAAATTGTTAAATGAAAGAGATGTTTAGGGTTTAGGGTTTAGGGTTTAGGGTTTAGGGTTTAGGGTTTAGGGTTTAGGGTTTAGGGTTTAGGGGTAGCCCAGTAGCCATCTTACAATCAGGGCACCGTCTTTTGGGGTTGGTTACTTTAAACCCTAAACCCTAAACCCTAAACCCTAAACCCTAAACCCTAAACCCTAAACCCTAAACCCTAAAACCAAAAAAAGGGTAAAGGGTACCACTGGGCTACCAGGTATCCGTCGGGTAGCTCGCGCGATGCCTCGCCGTGGGAGCTCTTCGAAGGACCCGGCCTTGGTCATATAAACCCTAAACCCTAAACCCTAAACCCTAAGCCCTAAACCCTAAACCCTAAACCCTAAACCCTAAACCCTGAACCCTGAACCCTGAACCCTGAACCCTAAACCCTAAACCCTTTTTGGGGTTTGGCCTTGGTGACTCAACAAGGGGAACCTTGAAACCCCCCCAAAAAAGGGCAAGCGGGTACCACTGGGCTAGCCCTAAACCCTAAACCCTAAACCCTAAACCCTAAACCCTAAACCCTAAACCCTAAACCCGAGCAAGGGAACCCTGAACCCCCCAAGAAAGGGCAAAGGGTACCACTGGGGTAGCCCCAGTTGCCAAAGCGCCATAGAGCATGGTGAGCCTGGACAGCCTGGATGATGTCCCGACGTGTTGGTTCCAATCCTTAGAACTACCCTAGGATGGGCTACTTGACCGAAGTTCTAAAGGACCATTTTAAGGGGCTATTGGGGTCTACTAGCCCAGCTTTAGGTACCTTTGCTTAAGGCTCGTGCTTTTTGAGGCTTCCGTGGCTGACCCGTATAATTTTCTTAGGAGGGCAGATGAAAAGAGCTGCCTTCCACGTGTTTCAGGGGGTTCAAGTACACTTCTTGGTAGCCCAGAAAGCACATTACAATAAGGGTACCCTGTTTTGGGTTGGCTACTGTATAAGGGAACCTTGACCCAACACAAAGGGCCAAAGGGCACCACTGAACATTCAAGACTTTCCTTGAAGCCTAAACCCTAAACCCTAAACCCGAAACCCGAAACCCTAAACTCGAAACCCTAAACCCTAAACCCTAAACCCTAAACCCTAAACCCTAAACCCTAAACCCTAAACCCTAAACCCAACACATTGAAGCAGGAGAGACGCTGGAAACAATCCCGGCCAGGGCCGCTTCTTCGTCCCCAATAAAATCCACAGGTGTCGTCTCCTCACCTGTACCTCAAGGGACTGGGATGAACAGGGTTCAGGGTTTAGGGTTTAGGATCTAAGGGTTAAGGGTTTAGGGTTTCAGGGTTAAAGGGTTAAGGGTTTAGGGTTTAGAAGGGCTGAGGTTATTCCAAGGGACTAAAGGAAGGACACCCTTATAAGGGACCGCAAGGGTACTGTAGGGGCCACTTAGGCATATAGAGGCTTTATTCAGGTATATGTAGGGGGCGAATAGAATTAGGGCGTTATGTAGGGGACTTCACCTGTACATTCAGGGTGCATGGTGTACCGGCTATGTGCTGTGCTGTGCTAGATACTGCCTAACTCGTTGAGTTCCTAAAAACTAAGCCCTAAATCCTCATTAAACCCTAAACCCTAAACCCTAAACCCTAAACCCCAAAACCCTAAACCCTAAACCCCAAACCCTTCTAAGCTCCCTCCTGTCGAATCTTCGCAGAGCGAAGGCGCCCCCAGAGCGCGGGCTGCGACATCCCCCGGCCTGGTTTTCCTGGGGTCTTAAACAGGTTTTGGGGTTTCAGGGTTTTTAGGGTTTCAGGGTTTTAGGGTTTCAGGGTTTAGGGTTTTAGGGTTTAGGGTTTTAGGGTTTTTGGGTGTTAGGGTGTTAGGGTTTTAGGGTGTTAGGGTTTTAGGGTGCCAGGATTTCAGGGTGATAGGGTTTTTGGGCGTTAGTTTTCTTCAGGGCTGTAGTCTTGCTGGCAACGAACACAGCCATGTCAAACTGACCGAGCTTCTCCACCATGGCGGGCGAGTGCGAGCTGCGAGCGTGCTGCCCGTGACACTGCTAGTGCACTTTGCAGTTCTGACGTTTCGCTACCTGCTTCCTAAACCCTAAACCCTAAAGCATCGTTTCGGGTTTAGGGTTTAGGGTTTACAATAGGTCCCTCTCCCCCTCCCCTCCCCCCCTACTCCTCCGACTCCTGCGGCTTGAGAGAGGCCTTCGGGGTTCGTTCCCTGTTCAGGGTTGCATACAGTATTCGGGTTAAGGGTTTAGGGATTTATGGTTAAGGGAAGCCTAAACCCTAAACCCTAAACCCTAAACCCTAAGCCCTAAGCCCTAAGCCCTAAACCAACCTTTCGGGGGTTTTGGGATTGATTTGTGCCATCCATTGCGACTCAATCCTTGTAACTAGACGGCCGAAGCCACCCAACACCTCAAAAGCCTGACCACACCAAGCAAACCTGGAAACCCTGCATATACAACGGCACCCCACAACTCCTCAAACACCACAAGCTGTGATAGAGAATCCAAGCAACCAACTTATGCCCAAAAGAGCCCCGCATGTTCCACCCCTCTAAACACTAAACCCTATACCCTAAACCCTCAACCCTAAACCCTAACGAGGAAAATGGCCCAAGAGGCCAGAAGCCGGGATGATCCATCATACCCTTCGGCCCGAAGGCCACCCTCCACGTCCCGCCTTAATAATTAGAATAGGGTTTGGGGGGCTATTTCTGTCGTACATTTACAAGGAACCCTAAGGGAATACTAGTCGTATTTATTTCCCTAAACCCTAGACCCTAGACCCTAAACCCTAAACCCTAAACCCTATCTTGGATCCTCAACCCAGCCGAGCCTCACTTGTAAGGTCCATGTCCACCGGCAGGAGCCGGGTGCTGTGCTGGGCCTTCAGGGCCTGACGCGATGGGGTTTTGGGGGTTGGGTTTAGGGTTTAGGGATTAGGGTTTAGGGTTTAGGGTTCAGGGTTCAGGGTTCAGGGTTCAGGGTTCAGGATTTAGGGTTTACGGTTTAGGTTTAGGGTCTCAAGCCGATGAGGTGCCTCTAGGGCTTAGGCTACAGGGTCTAGGGTGTGAAGTGGTCTCAAGAGGTCTAAAGGGTTTGGGGTTGGGAGTCTAAACCCTTGGAAGCACTAAACCCTAAACCCTAAACCCTAAACCCTAAACCCTAAACCTTAAACCTTATAGGGTAAAGCCTAAAACCTTTTGGGCCTTTCAACCTGAGCCAGTGCAATCCCTGGCCCGGAGCCCTGGGCGTTGACTCCCAAGTCCCCGCGAGGGCCGGACTGGGTTTAGGGTTTAGGGTTTAGGGTTCAGGGTTCAGGGTTCAGGGCTTAGGGTTTAGAACACTACGGTTTGGGTTGGGACTTCGGGGGTTTAGGGTTTAGGGTTTAAGTGGGTTTGGGCTTTAAGAAGGAAACCGTTTAACCGGGTTCAAACCCCTAGATTTAGAAGTGCTGGCTCAGCCGCCCGCGGCTTCAGTTTAGCTTCCAACTCTGTAACAAGCCCTGATTCACCCCCCAAAGCGGGTAGGGTCGAAGGGCGTGGGGTTTAAGGGCGTTTTGGGGTTTAAGGGTTTTAGCCTGGGATCTAGAGAAACCTTCAGGCAAACGTTCTGGAAAGGGTTTTGGGCGGTCGCAGAGACATGAGTTTTCCAACTGTTCCTGAAACTGCCGTAAGCATGTGGGTCCTAATGACCCATCTTGTTAAAGGACGTCCTGGAGAATTGTTTAGTTCGAGTTGGCTAATGAAAGGACACCACTGAGGTTCCCCTACCAATTTCTCAACACCACCTCGTAGCCCCACCAGACCCTGAAACCCCAAAACCTAAGCCCCAAATACCAAAACTCCAAAACTCCCTGAAGCCCTACCCTAAACCCTAAACCCCTAACCCGAAACCCTAAACCCTGAGGGCGCCTGAAGCCCTGGGGATGCGGAGGCCGTCCGACCCGTGGCCACAACATTCAGGGAGGAGCCCCGCAGAAGGCCCTCTCTTGCAATGGCTTTTTGGGGTTTAGGGTTTAGGGTTTACTGTAGGGTTTAGTGTAGGGTGTAGGGTTTAGGGTTTAGGGTTTAGGTATTAGGGTTTAGGGTCTAGGGTCTAGGGTCTAGGGTCTAGGGTCTAGGGTTTAGGGTTTAGGGTTTAGGGTGTAGGGTTTAGGGTTTAGGGTTTAGCGCTTAGCGTTTAGGGTTTAGGGTGTAGGGTTTAAGGCTTAGGGCTTAGGGTTTAGGGTGACCTAGGAGTAACCTAGGAATAAAAAGGGTGCCCTTTTTGGGTTTAAGGAATGGCTGTTCTTAGGTGCCGAGTTCCCTTGGGAAAAAAGGTTACCCTTTGGGTTTATACTACCCCAAAGGGCTAAAGGTTACCCACCCAGCACCTAAGTTTTCGGGGGTTTGGGGGCTTCAAGGGGTTTCAAGGGCTTTGGGGGTTGGGGTTTTTGGGGTTGTGGGGGTTGGGGGTTGGGGCGTAGGGCTTAGAGCTAGGGTCTAGGGTCTAGGGTTTAAGGGCTTAAGGGTTTAAAGGTTTGCGGGGGTGGTTTTTAAAAGGTTTAAGGCCTTCAGAAGGGCTTATAAGCCCCTAAACCTCGTTACGCATTTCTGCACCAAACCCTAAACCCTAAACCCTAAACCCTAAACCCTAAACCCTAAACCCTAAACCCTAAACCCTAAACCCTAAACCCTGTACCTTCAACTACCTTCAATGACCTTCATACTAACCTCCAAAACAGCGGAAGCCCCAGAGCCTCCACCAGTGCCAGACCGATCCCGCGACTGGCCCCGCTCCTCGATTATTGGGCAGGGATAGGGTTTAGGGTTTAGGGTTTAGGGTTTAGGGTTTAGGGTTTAGGGTTTAGGGTTTAGGGTTTAGGGTTTAGGGTTTAGGGTTTAGGGTTTAGGGTTTAGGGTTTAGGGTTTAGGACTCGAACCGTCCTTTGGTTTCGGGTTTAGGGTTTACGGTTGAAAAGCCGAAGACATGCGCAGACCCCAAATCCTGCACCAAACCTTGGAAAGTACAACAGCTGCTCTTCCGCTCCCGACGAAGCACTTGTCCAAGGTATCTATAGGCATGCAAACGGGGCTTTACGACAATAAGGGACTCCTAGAATCGCCCTCCAAATCCTACTCTTACAGTAAGGACCCCAATAAGGTACCCCTAATATCGCAAGCCCCCCCTACTAGGCTGCACAAAAAGGCCGCTGCGCCCCTACCGGAGATGGAGATGGTCTTGTATCACAAAACGGCGCCGGTATCCTCAAAGCTCTATTCTGAAACCAACAGCTGAAGCTTCAAGGGGTTTTCGGTTGAGATTTTTTTTGGGTTTTGGGTAAGGCTTGCGGAGCTAAAGTCCTGAACCGTGAAGCTTCTACACTTCAGCCCTGACATGCACAAACGCCGCTTTAAAAAAAATCTCAGCCCCCCGGCACAAATGCCGACATGCTCACAGCAGCGACCAGCAGCTGCAAGATTCTGCCGTAGGGATGCGATGAAGGTAAAGCGTGCTGCGTGCGTCGGTCTGTATTCCTGAAAGAAAGTGCCTACAAAGGCTTGGGTATACCTTGGGGACGATATGAACCCTAAAAGGGTTTATGGTTCATATACCTTAATAGGAATTATAGTAGTATAGGGTATATGACCCCAATTTTAAGGTTCATTTCGTCCCCAAGGTATTGACCTCTGGCATTGGTACGCCTGGGGCTCGACCATCTCTGCCTAGCGAGCTCTAGGAGCACCGGGACATTTATGGTGCAGGCGTTTGTAAGCATGGGTCAACACGTACCTTGAGCAGACTTGCGGAGACGTCGCGCTGTCTTGGACATGTCTCACAAAATTTCGTGACAGTACCGCGCCCGCGCACCCAAGTCTCACAACTGCATCGACTCAGAAATCGGACATCTCGAGCTTTTCTCCCAAGCATGCAAGAGTCCTGACAAGCTGTACAGATCTGTACAGACTCGAGGAGACCGAGGAGACCTTCTGCACCCCAGTTGTCGAGTACCTAGGGGAACTAAAGTGGCTAACCTTTGGGAGTACAAGGGGATTCGATAACCCCAAAAAGGTTGAAGGTTACCTACTCCACTACTAAGACACGTCCATGTCTAGGCATCCAGGCATACCCTTTTTGAGGCACTGACATCTCACTTAATTCCCCCCCCCCCCCCCGGAACCCAAAATCTAAAACCCTAATCCACACAGCGGATCGTCGGGCAACTGGGCTTTGGACCCCCAAAGCCCTGCACACCAAAACCCCTAAATAGGGTTTAGGGTTTAGGGTTCAGGGTTTAGGGTTCAGGGTTTAGGGTTCCATCCCTAAACCCAAAGCCCTGCGTTGGGTTTGAGGGGTCAGAGCCCAGGATATTGAGGCTGGTAGCTGGAGACATTCGAAGGCTCCTCTGGCAACTGCCAGACTTGAGAGACCTAAACGCTCCGGGGATCCGGAACTGCACTACTGCCAGATCACCCAGAATATGTCGTGCCGGCGTCTCCGCGCCTCCCAAATTTCCGTCGCCTCCCACGCCTGCACCCATTGCCTGCCGGCCGCGGAGCCGCGGCTGCCGGCACTGCAGCGGAAGATGCCTCATCTTTCTCCTTGGTAGCCAAGTAACCATATGTAACCATATCATATCTTAGGTGAGTTTATAAGGGAAGCCAGAACCCTAACAAAAGGGCGAAAGGGTACCACGGGCCTACCAAGTCTCACTGAGGCTCTTCAGCACGCGGAGCTCCTCCCTCAGAGTGCCCATCTCCTCCTTCAAGGGGCCCAGCTCCTCCACTTGCGCCTGGCTGGCCACAAGTGCTAAACCCGGAACCCTGAACCCGTAACCCTAAACCCTAAACCCTAAACTGGCCCTAAACCCTACCCCCCCCCCCCAAACCCTGAACCCTAAATCCGGCCTTTAAGCTCTTGACCTCCTTCATGAGCAGCGCAATGTGCTTCGCAGACGTGTTGTGCATGTGCGAGTCCATGTCCTTGGCTATTGAACCAAAAAGAAACGAACCCTAAGGGTTCATGTACCTAAATAGGGAATACTGGGGCCTTAAAGTAGCTCCTAAACAGGGACTTCGGCCGAAGTACATAATAACAAGGTACATGGACCCTTAGGGGAACTTCGATTTTGCACTGGCTGATGATCTTCTGCATGGAGGTACGGTTTGAGGTGTGGAGCATTCATACTCCGGCTAAGGTTAAAAAAGGTCGATGCTTTGGGCGTGTGCAGCGACTGCACTTTAAACATCAGGGTGGCGTAGTAAACACATGAACATGAAACGCCCACCACCTTTGGCCGGCTTGCTACACTATACGAAGACCGCCGGATGTCATAGCTAAAAGAGGCCGCATCATTCCCATCTCGAGTACACCTGTGGCGGCCTAAATTTGGCATTGCAGGTGGACCGTCTTTAACAACATGCATTGGGACGTCGTGGGTAGTACCACCTCACAGCTTGTCTTTGAGAGTATATGCGCTTCGTTCATGTATGCATGTGAGGATCATGATGCGTTGGCATTCAAGATGCGACGGTGGATCATTGGTCAGCATGCTTCGGGCTGTGAGCCATTGTTGCAACCCTTGTTTTGCTAGCAGCTGAGGCGGCTTTTGAGTTCGGTCAAGCAGCCCGTGCCCTGACCTGCTCGCCACACAACTCGCACGGGAGGAGGCGATACGAGCACTCCTCCAGCATTTGTTAGGCTCCGGGTTTCGGGCAGGCGAGAAAGAACCACAGCTTCTTGATGTGATTTGCAGCCAAACCTGTCATTCAAGCAGAGGCGTCCACCACTTTCAAGCTTGCTCCTCGGCACGGTGAGCATCCAGCGCCTGAATGGATACCTCGACTGTGTGAAGATCAAGGAACGGCAGCTTGCATAGCCGCATAGCAGCAGGAGCGTTTTCGGGCTTTGGGTACAAGAAACTCGCAACCCCAAACCCTAAACCCTAAACCCTAACCCCTAAACCCTAAACCCCAAACCCTAAACCCTAAACCCAAAGCTGGAGCGAGGCACGAGAGCCCCGCAGTCCGGGCACGACACCTGGCGATGTGTGCACCTGGGTTCTGTGATAGCATGTGATCGTATTACTAGACCCAGGGGGTTTAGGGTTTAGGGTTTAGGGTTACTAGAGACTAACCCAGGAATCAAAAGGGTGCCCTTTTTGGTTTACAGTGAGGTCTTTTGCGGAGTAAATACGCCTAAAGTCAGGTTGTTTCATGGGGGAATAAGGGGGGCGGGGGGTAGTAGAGAGGGGGGGTAGTAGGGGAACCCTTGATACTAATAGCAAAAAATGTAATTTCAATAACCGGGAATACGGAATGGCATAAAGAAAAATGACAATCTAGCACTGTAGCAAATTAATAATAAAACAAGACGACAATCCCAGAATGTAACAATATAGCAATCTAATCCAACCTTTAAACCTACTAGATAATAATGCACTTGTAGTTGAAATCAATGGCAATGGCACGTCGCCATATGTGCCACTTTGTCCTTCAAGACCACGTGCTCACCGCAGCCATTTGGACACTTGAGCTCCAGCTTATCGATCTCCCACCTGGCGATGCAGATCTACACATGGGTTTAGGGTTTAGGGTTTAGAGTTTAGGGTTCTGGGGGGGTTTACGATATCAGGGGTACCTCATTGGGGTCCTTTGTAATGGGGGATCCTAGTATTTGGGGGTCTATATTTATTAGGGGTCGCCAACTATGCTCACTTCTGGCAGGCCCGACTTGCAGGCGTCCAAAGAAACCAGAACTCTATGCCTTGAGTGGACCAGCCTCTTCTCGTAAGCAGCTACGGCTGGCTCGCCATCTTGTCGGCACACAGGACATCGAGGGTCTTGTGCTGTACTGGACTGCCAGCATGACTCGCAGGTGATGACCTTCAGTGGGCTCCCAAGCCAATCCGAATGTTTAGGGTTTAGGGTTTAGGGTTTAGGGTTTAGGAAGTAGCTGGCCTTACAGCGCCGAATTCAAAAAAAATGGCTGCCAAACGCGAGATAGGGCGCTCTGCAGGAATGCATCAGGGCTTGCCTGCAAACAAGCATGCAGATCCTCGGTTTTTTGCAGCACGGTGTGCATCCACCGGAGGACCCCACAACCCTTGCACGCCAAACCCTAAACCCTAAACCCTAAACCCTAAACCCTAAACCCTAAACCCTAAACCCTAAACCCTAAACCCTAAACCCTAAACCCTAAACCCTAAACCCTAAACCCTAAACCCTAAACCCTAAACCCTAGTCATAAAGCCCAATATGAGCCCTACAAAAAAAGTCGCGCAAGAACGATCCGCTGCACCATGACGATCCAAGGGCTCGGGTTCAGGACTTAGGGTCGAGGGGCTACTAGATATGTGTGTATATACATATATGTATATACATAAACAAACTAATATATATATATATATATATATATATATACCTACATATATATATATATATATATATTTTCTGCATATGTTTATACTGTTTAGATGAAAGGCCTAGTAGATTATTATGTTCTTTCCCCTAAACCCTAAACTCTAAACCCCAAACCCTAACCCACCCTAAACCCTAAACCCTAAACCCTAAACCCTAAATCCTAAACCCTAAACCGTAAACCCTAAACCCTAAACCCTAAACCCTACACCCCAAACCCTAAACCCGAATTCTGCGAAGAGTCGGGCAGTTGAAGACTTGCGCTGCCTCTGCATCCAGCCACTCCTGCGAGACTTGCGATCCAGGATTAGCGATCCAGGATGTATCGGCGCTGTTGCAGGGTTTAGGGTTTAGGGTTTCGGGTAGCAGGGTAGTCTTGCATAGGTTCGGGGAGGTGGTTGGCATGAAGCACGTTTGCCGTGCGCGGGCCATTCTAGAGCAAAGATTCGCTCGGTTTCGGGGTTTAGGGTTTAGGGGGGTGTAGGGCTGCCGTCCACACCTATGTTCCCAACAAAGAATCACCATACCTGCCAGTCGGACTCCAGCGAGAGGGCCACTGGGGATTTTTTGAAACCGCACTGAAAGCCTCATTCCGGCTTAGGGTTTATAGGTTTTCGGTTTAGGGTCCTATGCTACCCTGCGCCCTTCTAAACCCTAAACCCTAAACCCTAAACCCTAAACCCTAAACCCTAAACCCTAAACCCTAAACCCTAAACCCTCAACCCTACATTCAGCTCTGTCTCCTCGTCATGGCCACTCCGGACTTGCGACTCCTGGCCATCCGTTTCGGCTCTGATTCTGCCACCGCGCCTTCCAGCCTCGGCCTTAAGCTGGGTTTAGGGTTTAGGTTTAGGGTTTAGGGTTTAGGGTTTAGGGTTTAGGGTTTATCGTTCAGCAGCTCCGGATGGAGCAGTATTATGGTAGTGCTATATTTACGGCTCGGATATTACACCCACACACACCCAGAGAATCCCATAACATTAAAAATTAAGAAACCATAAAGTATCTTCTTACAAAAGTTCTACTCAACGAAGACTACGGCTACAGAACAAATTCGTTCTGAAAAATCCGCATAGCGTCACACAAAGATGAGCATTACAAGAGAAAAAGAATGGCCGGAAACCCTCACAGGGGTGGGTGGGTGGGGATGGAGGGTGGTGGGTGCTCGCCCACGAATTTTTGTGCCTTACATTTTGGTGCCTTGCCCACGAACTTTTGTGCCTTGCCACCAATTTGTGTGCCAGAAAATTCGTGGGCAAAGGCACCAAAATTCGTGGGCAAAGGCACAAACATTCGTGGGGAAGCCAAAACCCGAAACGTGCCTTGCCCACGAATTGTTGTGCCTTGCCCACGAAGTTTTGTGCCTTGCCCAGGAGTTTTTTGTGCCTTGCCCACGAAACCCATGAGGGTTTATATATATATATATATAGTAAGAGAGGTTTAGGGTTTAGGGTTTAGGGTTTAGGGTTTAGGGTTTAGGGTTTAGGGTTTAGGGTTTAGGGTTTAGGGTTTGGGGTAACGTTTGCGGTGTATAGGGTTTAGGGGTTGAGGGTGTGTTCCTGACAAGTGACACAATTATGTTCCTGGGACGGATTGTGCAAGTCTTGAAAACGAACATCCGCGCGGCCAGAAACCTCCTGAGGCTGAGACCCCAGCGGCTGGTCGAACTGCACTGAGCGGGGCCCATAGACTCCTTACGCTTGATTTGGGTTTTGGGTTTAGGGTTTTGGGTTTAGGGTTGAGGGTTTAGAGCTTAGGGTTGAGGGTTGAGGGTTTAGACCATAAGGGTGCAGTTCAGAAAGAAGAGAACATGCCGCTGCAGCACAAGGCTCTCGAACTCCCGCGGTCGGAAAAAGCGCCCCTGAATCTCACCGATAGTGAAGACCTCGAGAAGGCGGCGCGAAAGAGAGCACGATTGAAACCTTGAAAAGGTCGCAACGCCACCACGACTCAAAAACCCTAAACCCTAAACCCTCAACCCTGAACCCTGAACCCCGAACCCATCAGCTTCAGAGGTCTCCGATCGTCTGCTCAGCACCACCTTCTCTGCCCCCAGAAAACAACGCGAACCCAACACATTCTCTCTCTCTCTCTCTCTCTCGCACACACCCGGAATGATCCCTGAACCCTGGACCCTGAACCCTGAAAGCTGCATAAGAGGCGGATCCCGAAATCCTAAAGCGTAAACCCTAAACCCTTGCTCCAAGCCAAGGGGCGGTTCCGTAGCTGAAGTGGAGTCTCTGGGGAGGACATCCCGACCAATCGGCAGCAACATCATCCCGGATGCATCTGACCCGCATACCTGGAGCACTGTGACTAGCGGGTTTAGGGTTTAGGGTTAGGGTTTAGGGTTTAGAGGGGTATGTAACCCAAGGTTTGCTCAAAATACTCCCCACTACTCCTTCAGGCCCCGCAAATTTTTTGGGTTGGCTACTTTAGAAGGGAACCCAGAACCCAACAAGAAAGGTTAAAGGGCTACCCAGCTCAGGGTCGGGATGCAATGCTCGATTTAGGTTTAGGGCTTCGGGGTTTAGGGTTAGGGTTTAGGGTTAAGCGATTTTCAGGCCTGACACGGGCACCAGCCCACCATGACGCTTATCCCACAGGTGCAGCTTTGTCATGCAAGCCTCGCCTGATTGGGAATTAGGCAGATGGGCCTCCTAGCCATAAACCCTAAACCCTAAACCCTAAGCCCTAAGCCCTAAACCCTAAACCCTAACCCTTAACCCGAAACCCTCAACCCTAAACCCAGGCTTCCCCCCACCTCGCTGGAAGTCTTCTGTACTCAAGGTCGCAGTGTCAGTGGCTTCGTCCTCGCAAAGCTCGACCTTCACCAAGTGGATTCAAGGCCGGCACAGGCATAAGTACTGCTGCAATATCGCAACTGGCCTTGGAGGACCCTCAACCCTAAATGTCCCCAAATCCCAAATCCCCCAAACCCCTAGGCCCTAAACCCCTAAACACCCCAAACCCTACACCCTGTACAGACAAAAACTACTGCTGTGCCCCGTTGACTTCGTGCCTCTCCCATTTCAGCGTTCCAACCCGAGTGCGATGGAAAATCAATCACCAACGAACGGCCATCGATCTCCTGAGACTGCCAAAACAGGAGACGCAAACATGCATCAGTGATGCCGCTCGTAACAACCTGGATTGAAACCCATCGCAGTAACCCATCGCATGCACTAAGAAGCAAGTTTTCCGTAGGAGCGGCTGAGATCTCTCATCTTCTCTCTGGCGGTGCGCACAAGTCTGCACAGAAACCAGACGAGTGACCCTGACGCGGCCGCGCTCGCCCCGCTGCACGTGCCCCCAGCCATGTGTCGGGGAAGACACCGCGTCTCGAACCTCGAGTTTCAGTCCGCGGTTTGAGTATGCATTTTCTCAGGCCAGCAAGTCCAACAACAGCAGTTTCCTCAACTGGGAAACCCTAAGGCCCCCAAGAGCGCGAACATTCAAACCCTGCGTGGAGACTTTATCAAGAGTCTCATGCGAGTTGGTGGAGGAGGTTCCCACTACATCACTTGCACAGATATGGGGGTTTTCGAAAGGGGGGGGGGATGCCCTTTTTGGGCGTTTCTCTATGTCTTTGGGGTATAAAGTATAAAGACTTGCATCTCCCTATTTGGCCGCATCTGCGCAGCGCCCTGCTTTCTCGCCTAAACCCTAGACCCTAGGCCCTAAACCCAAACCCTGTTCTCGATGGCTGACCCCCCCCCGCCCCCGGCGCCGTCCTCATGTTTTCACATGTTGTTGACAGGAGCCCCAGTGCCACTCACCCCCCATCTCAAAAACAAAAATGTGCGAACTCTACACCTTGCACCAAGACCTACATCCTTCTCTGCTTCGGCCACGCTGTGGGCGCGTACTCATCGGTGCATGAAAGGAGCTCTTACAACAGAGCCGACGGTAATGTGGGGCAAGACCCGCTGAAAATCCTGCCCTCGTCGGAGGCCGTTGTTTTGGTATCCTTTGCGCAGCTATGCGCAACGGCTGGCAGGTGATGTGTTGGCTTGACTGACAGCTTGCAAACGAAAGGACGCACTGCCAACAAATCGACTACCTTGGGGACGACATGAACCCTAAAAGGGTTGTGGTTCATATACCTTAATAGGAATTATGGTAGTATAGGGTATATGACTCCAATTTTCAGGTTCATTTCGTCCCCAAGGCAACTACACTAAGGCCGGGCGAGGGTCCATTATCCCATCGGATCTGTACCTCGTCATCATCCTGACAAGAGCATGGCCCTCGTGGCTCGACAGGTATCGCGTTGCTACTTCTGTGGGGCTGCGCCAGCTCTGTGCATTCGTCCGAGTGGCAGCGGCACTATACAGTATAGTGCCGAGAGTACCCGGTTGCACTCGTGCACCTCCGCAAAGGTGAGACTCGCAAATCAAGGCATGTCCTATACAATACCTGCTCAGTCTAAGCCTTGCGATATATTGCGGAGATTTGTCCCTGGCAGGCTGGTATAGCGCCGAACAATCAAAACCATACCCAGTGACAAGACTCTCTGGCTATTTCCCAAAGGGCTACCCCTTTTCTACCCCCAAATAGAATAGAATCCACTTCAAGGCACCCCCCTACAAGGTTACACTATTTTGTCGAAATGGGCGTTTGCAAAAATAAGGGACCCCTTATATAACCCCCAAATAGTAGGACTCCCTCATAACAAGGACCCCAAATAAGGCACCCCCAATTTTGGAAACCCCCAACTGAAACCTGCACCCTAAACCCTAAGCCCTAACTCAGTTTCACCCCGACTTTCACCCCGACCCGGCCTGACTCGCGGATCTCCCGCAATGCGCGAACCCGGTCACCAACTTGCAGATTGCCCTCTGGCTCATCCTTCGAAGGCTTGCAAAAAATCATCTCTAAACCCTAAACCCTAAACCCTAAACCCTAAACCCTAAACCCTAAACCCTAAACCCTAAACCCCTAAACCCTATACACTCTCTTTGCCGCTTGCTGCAAGGCTTCTGGTGGACGAGTTGGCCTTCCGGCACAGGTCTGGCACAAGTCCTTGGTTTAGGGTTTAGGGTTTAGGGTTTAGGGTTTAGGGTTTAGGGTTCGGGGTTTAGGGTTTAGGGTTTAGGGTTTAGGATGGCCATGAGCAGGTTTTCAGTGTCTCGGAGTTCTCGGAACGGATCAAGAATGAACTGCCTGTTCATTACCCCCAAGCCCTGAGCCCTAAGCCCTAAGCCCTAAACGCGAAACCCTAAACCCTAAACCCTAAACCCTAAACCCTAAACCCTAACCCCTAAACCCTAAAGCAGAGGCCTCGAGCTGAATTTCAAGCAGGATTCGTAGTCACAGCTGGCGCAGCAGTAGAAACGTCGATGGTGTTCTATCTGCTCGCCTCAGCACTGCAATCTGGATACTTATTTAGGGTTGGTTTAGGGTTTTTGTTTGTCCTCAAGCTGTAACAACCCTACGAGCAGCGACTTTCATGGAGTCCGCTTCTTGCATCTGGACGCACTGCCCTTCGCATTCCGAGGCGGTGTACTTAGCTAGGGTTTAGGGTTTAGGGTTTAGGGTTTAGGGTGCAGGGTGCAGGGTTGAGGGTTTATTGGGATTTCGCTTCAGTCTAAGGCGGGCCGCCGCACCTTTTGCATGCGGTCGTCTCCTCACCATGGATGAGGACTTTCGGCTGGAAGTCATGGTCTTAGCAGGCGCAAATCGATCCCTCTCCCCACTTCCTTGAAATCTGTGTCCGATTCTGTGCGGAAGCTGCTTTGCGAAGGGGCACATGCAAGCTGTGACACTGTGAACTTGCGGAGCAACCTCGAAAAGTCAGTCGGCAACAACAGGAAGCTGACATTAATTCAGGTGGCACCTTCTCGCTATCATGTCCGACGTGCAGAAACGCAAGTTTTGCCGAGGTCTTGGGTCCGCCGGTGTTGGAAGACCAGTCAGTGCTCCCCTCATCCACTTTTCCATGGTCAAACCCGAGAAACACTAAATTTTACAAACTCGATTCGAAGGATGTGAGCCCCTTTATGGAAAGTACAGGAGTGCTTCGATGATCAACAAAGAAGTGCCGCTGCGTGTCATGGTTGATGGCACAAGATTCGCAGACAGGACGCTGCGCGGACATTGCAGGTACTCCAGAAGTCCGAACACCCATGACACCCTGCGCGACGAGCCATCGTCGAGGTGGAACCGCATGTCCTAGGCCGATACGTATGCTTGCAAGAACTGAGTAGATTTGCCTGCAATGCGGGATGCCTGCCGCAAGACAGAGAGAAATGCAACTTATGTCAGGCATGTGTCGCAGTGATCCGCTTCGATGTTCTCAATTTCCCCGACGGCACCGAGGACGGATGTCATGCTGTCAACCCAGCCCGCTACACCTTCCATCGGTGGGAACTTAAGAGCATGGGAACCCTAAACCCTAAACCCTAAACCCTAAACCCTAAACCCTAAACCCTAAACCCTAAACCCTAAACCCTAAACCCTAAACCCTAAACCCTAAACCCCAACAAGAAAGCACCTAACGGCCGTTCAAGCTTGAGCTTGGACTGCAAACGTGTGGTGAGTCCCCTTTAGGATGTTCCCCCTTATACTAACAGTCCTTCATCGGGTGTAGGGTTTAGGGCTTGGGGATCACACCCCCGACTATAATGCCAATTAAGGACTGTTAATACAAGGTGGAACATCTCAAAGTCCCCCCTGTCTGATGAATCCTCTTCAAGTCACGCAAGTCCCTGCGCCTCGACAGAGTCTGCGTGCCTCGTGAACCGGCAAGCTGCGAACCTTGACGTGCTGGCCCACGAAGAGGGCTGCCTCTACAAGCAAAAACACTCGGAAGCTAAGGCTTCGAAATCTCTCGAGACCTGCAACTCACATCCCTGCCAAGTGCCTTCTTGGACGCGCACGACTCGCACCTGGGCGTTTTTGTACTGGGTTCGTTGCAACTCGTTTTGGTTGACCAGAAACTACTGCAGATCGAAATGGGCAAAAGCTGCCCCTCTACTCGACTGGCGTCTTGAATGGTCGGCCCCTGGAACGATTCAATAGCCGTCCCCCTCCGCCCCGGCTGTTCAGTACTAGTACTTCTAGGTGGCGGAGTTTAGCTGGGCTCCAGTCATGCCTGGGCCGAAATATCCGAGCAACTTGTCCAACCCTAAACCCTAAACCCTAAACCCTAAAGTCTTGAGTTCTTGGGCATTGGGGAGTGCGACATTGTCAGCCCAGCAGTCTCTGCCATCACGGCAGCACAGGGCTGTGCTGTGGCGCCCAAAGGAACACACCCCGGATGAGCATGCTCAGACCATCACACATGGGGGGGGGGTTATGAAAATAGGGGGACCCCGAAAACAGACCCCAAATAGTAGGATTCCCTAATAAACAGGACCCCACTAAGGCACCCCTTATTTTCTGAAACCCCCATATCGCAGCACAGTGCTCTGGAGCAGATGTGACTGGGTATGGCACAGGTCAAAGTCGCAGGCTGGGCAGCGCCACGCAACCAAGGGCTCCTCGTCGAAGTCGCGCTGGCAGGCGTCGCAGACGTGTCCTGGGGGTATCACGTGGGTCTTGATGATCTTGCGGCCACCTTTGCTGTCAGTTGAGGCTGCAAATGCAGATGCACCACTTGGCACGCATGTAGGAGCACTACGGCCCCGGGATATCCTGATCACAGGCCAAGATACATCGGCAGTCCAGCGGCTTCAGCATCGCCACGGGCCATGTCCAAGCCCGGCCCTCATGTGGCACCACCCTTACACGTCTGTCCGGAAACCCAGCATGCCTTGGCTAGGGCAGCAATTGTCACCCCGGACGGCTCTCGCAACCTTCGCCAGACCAACACACCAGGGAAACGCTTCGAGACCTTGCGCCTCTCTCTGAATTGCCACAGCTCTTACAGGCTTGATCTGCATCGGGCCACAACTGTTCGCAAGCTGCACTTTGCAATCTCCCTGTGCAGTCGGCCATGCCAGCCTCCAAACCTTGAAAGCCCGAAATCCCTCGCTACTAAACCCAAACATGAGTTTAGGGTTTAGGGTTTAGGGTTTAGGGTTTAGGGTTTAGGGTAATGCAGCTCTTCTTGAGGGAAGCTGCTCCACCGTGCCGCCCGATCCGAGACATGCAGCCATTCGAGGGTTCCAATGCCTCATGGTCTGTTTCGATAGCCTTGACCCGTATAAGCCCAAAACACCAAACCCGAAACCTTAAACCCTAAACCCAAAACCCTAAATGATTTCTCTGAACTCTGGTCAGTTTTGGGGTCCTGACCATAAGGCGGCCCCAGGTGCTATTTCGGGTACCCAAAAAGGGACCACAATTTGGAGAACTGCCCATATGTCAAGGAAGGACGCACGCCACACGCAACCCCCCCACCCCCCCCCCCCCCCCCCCACCCCACCCCCCCCCCCCCCCCCCCCCCCCCCCCCCACCCCACCCCACCACCCCCACCCCCCCCCCCCCCACCCCCCCCCCCCCCCCCCCCCCCCCACCCCACCCCCCCCCCCCCCCCCCCACCCCCCCCCCCCACTCCACTTGCCCACCCCCCCCCCCCCCCCCCCCCCACCCCCCCACCCCCCCCCGCCCCCACCAGCCCCCACCCCACCCGACCACCAACCGCTCGACTACGTCTTAATGTCGGCCCCTCCAGGAGCTGCATTGGGCAGGCCCAGGGGGGTTTGCGTAGCGTGAAGAAAATATTGAGGCTTCTTGCTGCGAATCTCTTTTATACCTTGAATAATATAGGATCGCCTTAGGGACCCCCAAAAAGGGTACCCCTATTTTTCGGAAACCCCCCATCTAAACCCTAAACCCGAAACCCTAAACCCTAAACCCTAACCTAAACCGCGGGAAGGGCTGAGTTAGGACAGTGCGAATGCAAGGGTCTTGCAGGGGAGAACAGCGTCGGCTGCGGTCGTTCCACAGTCTGCTGATGGGTTTAAGGCTTAGGGCTTGGGACGTCTTTCTTGCAAAAAAGGCTCGTTCCGGCAGCGTCGAAGAGCCGTGCGACCTGCATGCGACTGTGCAAGTCGCAGCCGCAGCGTGGACACAGGGTGCTTGTCCCATGAAAAACCGAATACGCAATATGTAGAGGCCTTAATATTTAGAACAGGGTACTAGGGGGCTATTGTAGAAAAAAAGAATACTTAGAACAGGGTGTTAGGGGGCTATTGTAGAAAAAAAGCATATTCAGAACAGGGTATTAGGGGGCTATTGTAGTATAAAAAAAGAAAAGCCAGAAGTGAATACACGTAGTAATTCTTCCGACACCTATATTCGCATGTTACTAGCATCTTGGTCTATCCGACCATAGATCAGATCCCACGACAAAAGAGCCTCGCAATGGCTTGATATCGACAAGACTTTTTTCAAGTTGATTTCACGCGAGCCCAATGGTCCATTTTTAATTCTACGAAAAGAACCTCCAAGACCCCAAACCCTAAACCAACAAGGCCCCTAAACCCTAAACCCTAAACCCTAAACCCCAAACCCCAAACCCCAAACCCTAAACCCTAAACCCTTTCTTAGGCAAATTTGACAGGCCCTGGGTCCCCAACTTGATGTTTTGCCCCCGAACCCTTGTAGGCACAACGTATCCACACTCTCCAAATTTAATGCCGCAGCGCCGGCAAGGCTCCCCCCACCCTAAACCCTAAACCCTAAACCCTAAACCCTAAACCCAGGTCTAAACTGGCCTAGGTCGAAAGGAGGAACCCTGTAAGAGCCTACGGCGATGCCCCGGGGCCTTATGTGCCCGCATATGATCCCTCGCAGGGGGTAGGGTTTAGGGTTTAGGGTTTAGGGTTTAGGGTTTAGGGTTTAGGGTTTAGGGTTTAGGGTTTAGGGTTTAGGGTTTAGGGTTTAGGGTTTAGTGTTTAGGGTTTAGGGTTTAGGGTTTAGGGTTTAGGGTTTAGGGTTTAGGGTTTAGGGTTTAGGGTTTAGGGTTTAGGGTTTAGGGTTTAGGGTTTAGGGTTTAGGGTTTAGGGTTTAGGTAAGGGGATATAAGGTACCCTGAGTCCGACCTCTTGGTGGTCACAATCACGGATCTTCACCAACTGTCCTTCTTCCAAGTGGGTTGTAGCGCGGGCCTCCCGAGCATTGAGAACCGCTACTGGGTGTGTTTGGGTGTGCATCAATCTGGGGAACGAACAGCTGGGTTTAAAGGTTTAGGGTTTAGGGTTCAGGGTTTAGGGTCTATAGAGTTCAGAGTTTAGGGAGACTTTGTGCGCTTGTTCTTGTCGTACCTTCCGAATTACACGTGAATGTGACTGGAACTTGCCATCCATGGTTTAGGGTTTAGGGTTTAGGGTTTAGGGTTTAGGGTTTAGAGACTACGGACACCACTCTGACTGCCTAAACAAACAGCGACAAAGAAACAAAAATGCCGAATGTGGGGGGGGCTTAGGAAATTGGGGGGGACCCTACCCTAAGGATCCATGTACCTATATAGTATATACTTGGGCCCTAAAGCTACTATATAGGAACCCCTTTACGGCCCAAGTATGTGCTATATAGGTACATGGATCCGGCTAAAAACAGACCCCAAATAGTTGGATTCCCTACAATACGGATCCCAATAAGGTACCCAGAATTCGTCGCATCGATGTCATCCGCGCTCGCGCATGTTGTGCACGTTGTGAACGTGGGATTGCCTTCACCTAAACCGCATAAAGTATAAGGGCCTTAATAAATAGAATAGGGTTTCGGTGGTTATTCTGGTATACGTACCACCAAGTAGCCCAGTAACCATATCATAATAAGGGCACAGTTTTTTGGGTTGCTTACTTTAAAACGGAACCCCGAACCCCAAAAAAAAGGGTAAAGGGTACCACTGGGCTACCAAGATAAACGGGCCATACAAGTCTCAGTCGGTGCTCAGGATGTGAGCTTCAACCCCGAAATCAGATTCCTTCAGTGCTTGAACCCGAAGCCTAAACCCGAAACCCCAAACCCTGACGTGGAGACCCCAAAAAGGGGGAGAGTTTAGGGTTCGGGTTTAGGATTTGAAAGGCTTGGGCTTTGGGATTCAAGGGGAACTTTCCAAAACCAAATCCTTGGGCGGAGTTTTCGATGGACCTCGGAAAACCTGCCCCCCCCCCCCCCCCCCCCCCGGGAGGTTTAGGAGGGTATGGAAGAGAAACACATACTGAAAGTCCTAAACTCTAAACCCGAAACCCTAAACCCTACCCCCCCCCTAACCCTTAAACAAAACACTGGAAATTTGACACAACAAGTTTCTCACCGACTGCCGCACCTCTGCCGACATGGAGCATTCAAACGTCACTCCTCGTGCGTCCACGTTCCATCTTGGATCGAGAGGGTTTAGAATTTAGGGTTTCGGGTTTCGTGTTTAGGGTTAAGGCTTGCAACTTGAGTATGCGATGCAGCGCAACAACCACACTTGCATCCGCAATGTTTTCCTAATGCACATTTTGGTGCAGGAAGCAGCTTCAAGGGATTTGCTGCCCCCAAAATGCCATAAGCCCTGCCAAGATAGAGCCCGAAACCCGAAACCCGAAACCCTAAACCCCAAACCCCAAACCCCAAACCCTAAACCCTAAACGTTAAACCCTAACAAGGTGCTCGGAGGCATGGCCGTGCCAGCTGTCGAAGAGGACGCGCACGTAGCCGTCGCTCACGACACCAGAGGCGTCTCCAGTCTCTGCAGCGTCATGCCTGGTTTAGGGTTTAGGGTTTAGGGTTTAGAGTTTATAGGTCTTCGGGTTGGAGGGCTTTTGGGTGTAGGGCGGTCCCCAAAGAAGTTAAGTTTAAATTCTATTGGTGACGAGCATATAGGCTCCCACAGAACTTGAAACGCCACTCCAAACGTTCTACCAGTTAATTATATGTATGGTTATTCGTAGAAAGTACGGCCCACAGAACACCCTAAACCCTAAACCCCAAAACCCTGAAGCCTAAACCCTAAACCCTAAACCCTAAACCCTAAACCCTAAACCCTAAACCCTAAACCCTAAACCCTAAACCCTAAACCCTAAACCCTAAACCCTAAACCCTAAACCCTAAACCCTAAACCCTAAACCCTAAACCCTAAACCCTAAACCCTAAACCCTAAACCCTAAACCCTGACCCTTAAGAGTTTTTTCTAATTGGCCCCGGTATGCATCCATCCCAGGAGAACTCCGGCTCCGAACCGGTGGTGCACGACTCGTGCGCCCGGGCTCAGATTCCTGAGGCGAAGCTTCTTGGGTAAATAGGGTTTAGGCATTTGGGTTTAGGGGTTGTTTAGGGTTTTTAGGGTCTATAGGGTTTGTCGGGTCTATAGGGCTTGTAGGGTTTATAGGGTCTATAGGGTTTACAGGATCTGCTGGGCTGATAGGGTTTATGAGGTTGATAGGGTTTAAAGGGTTTGTAGGGCTTGTAGGGTTTGGGGTGCAGGGTTTAGGGTTCAGGGTTTAGGCATGGGTGCTTTTGTAGGGCTAAACGCGGCTAAACCCTAAACCCTAATTAAACCCGAAACCTTAGAGCACCTAGCATGCGCGCAAAGGAGACACATGATGCAATGGGCTGGGAGGTTCAAGACCAACTTGTAAACCCCAAACCCTAAACCCTAAACCCTAAACTCTAAACCCTAAACCCTGCTAGCTGTTAGGATTTCAGTCCAATTGCGAATGCGGTCTGCCATCTGGGAAGATTGGCCCTTCCAGATCCTCACCGGCAGCACTCTCGTCGGAAGTCCCTGCAGAAGAGCTCATGGCTTCAAGACTTGGCAGGGGGGGGGAGGCCAAACCCTAAACCCTAAACAACCCTAAACCCTAAACCTTAGACCCTAAACCCACAGATGCTTCGCTGAGAGCCGATAAGTTGCTTCTTGGGGTCCTCTTGGGGGTTTAGGGTTTGGGGTCCCTAAACCCTAAACCCTAAACCCTAAAGCCTAAACCCCAAACCCTAAACCTAAACCCTAAACCCTAGTTAGTGTTTAGGGTTTGGGGTTCAGAGTTTAGGGGCACCCGCATCATACGGACACCAAGCAGGACCCCCCGACTCAGAGAAATGCTCAAGTCATATACGTGCCCGCGATATTGCAGGCTTGGGGGGGGGGGGGGGGAGTTTGGGGTTTAGGGTATAGGGTTCATAGGGTGCTTAAGGTACTATAAAGGGTTTAAAGCAAAGTATCAAGGGTTTCTAGGGTTTATAGGGGTTTAGGGTATTAAGGGTTTATAGGGTTTACAGGGCTTTTAAGGTTCTGTAAGGGTTTGATTAGGGTTTACGGTTTGGGTTTTCAAGGGTGTAGGGACTGGCCCTGTAGGGCTTCACTAGCCGTTGCTGGTCTTTTGTTCCTTCCGCCCCAGCCCGTCGCACACTCATGCAGGATATTAGAGCCCTGACCATCCTCAGCGCGAAAAGGAGCCCACAGCAGGCTCTGCACTAACCTGAATATTGAGGGCCCTAAACCCTATACACCCTAACCCTAAGCCCTAAGCCCTAAGCCCTAAGCCCTAAGCCCTAAGCCCTAAGCCCTAAGCCCTAAGCCCTAAGCCCCAAGCCCCAAGCCCTATAAGCCCTAAACCCTAAACCCTATACACCTAAACCCCCCTAAACCCTAAACCCTAAACCCCAAACCTCGAGACCCTTAGGGGTTCAAAGGGCTGAGGGCTGAGGGCTCCGGCAAGACGATTGGTACCTACTGCACATGGTTCAGGCGCTCGTTGCAGCTTACATAGCACCAGGGGCTACTTGAAGGTTCATGGGTACTTATAACCCCAAGTATAAGGTTTAGGGTGTAGGGATTAGGGTTAGGGTTGTAACCCCAAGTATAAGTCTACTTATAGCCTACTTTGAGGACTTGGGGGGCTGGTAAGTCCATTGGGGTTAGAAGTACCCTGAACCTCCAAGTACCAGCTGCCATCTCTACGTGGTCTCGAGCCCCCCAAAGTCTTGAACGCCGAAACGCCTCAAAATCTACAACTCCGAAGTGTGTGTTCCTAAGCTCTGAAACCTGAGCCCTGGCCCCGACTTTTCCATAACCCTAAACCCTAAATAACCCTGGACCCTAAACCCTAAAACCCTAGAACCCTAGAACCCTAGAACCCTAGAACCCTAGAACCCCAGAACCCTAGAACCCTAGAACCCTAGAACCCTAAACCCAGAACCCCAGAACCCTAGAACCCTAGAAACCCTGTCGCCGGTACAGGAAGCCAGGGCTCGGCTGAGTGAGACGCCGCAGCACCGCGGGGGGATGCCGAAGGCAGAGGGCTGAGGATCTTCAGGGCTTGGGGTTTACGGTTTAGAGTCTAGTGTGTTGGGGTTTACGGTTTAGAGTCTAGTGTGTTGGGGTTTAGGGTTTGGGGTTTAGGGTTTGGGGTTTAGGGTTTGGGGTTTAGGGTTTAGGGTTTGGGGTTCGGGGTTTGGGGTCCCGAAACCCTAATCCCCAGGTTCCCGTGAGCTATGAATCAAACCCCCCCCCCTTTTCTGATCTTGGCTGCACTCAGGAGGGTAGCTAAAAATTAAAATTTTAGCTGCCTCATTCAGAAACCCGATTAACCCCAAAAGGGTAAGGATCTAAAGTTACAGTAAAGTACCACAAAGTGATTTCATGGGAGTTATACGGGACCGAGCCCTTGAAAGGTCAAGGAGGAAGCCTAGGGGTTTAGTTAGCATTCACGCCCAGGTAGTGGCTCTGAGGGCTTAGGGCTTAGGGTTTAGGGCTCAGGGCTCAGGGTTTGGGGGTTGAGGCAGCGGCTGAGATTTCAGGTGCCAAACAAAGTCGGTTGTTGAGTTCTCGTGGGTTTAGATGTTTAGAACTCCCAGGAATGCCAGAGTTTACCTGCTCGGCACGCTGAACCGTATAAGCCCCTAAAAGGAGGCCTAAGCCCTAAACCCCAAACCCCAAGTCCAAAAACTCTAGAAACGGAGTCAGAAGGAATTGACAAGCAGGCCCTAGCGCCCGAAGTCTGAGGGAACAAGGCCGGCTTTAGTGTTTAGGGTTCAAGGGTTCAAGGGTCTATAGGGTGCTGAGGGTTTAGGGCTTAGACTCAAAGTGGGCTTGAGTTTAAGTTTTTGGGGTTCAGGATTTAAAGTTTCGGACGTAGATTGGGCTTATGGGTCTAAGCTTCAGGGGAACGGGGAACATCATACTCACTGTTGCCATCAGTCTCGGCAGCCTTTGCATGCCTTTCGCTAGACGACTGATGCCAGCGTGCCACCCGGAGAGGCGAGCTCCACTCACCGAGATGGTCGTCTCACAAAGGTTTAGGGGTTACAGGGTTTAGGGCTCAAGGGCTTGAGGAAATTCAAGAAGACAGCACTCAAATCCCAACCTAAGTACAAAACATCGTTCATGAAGCGTGGGGAGGAATGATTATCGCAAGCACATCAAAACAGCAGCTAGAACCAAATTTCGACTGTTTGTTTACCCACGTTTTGTACTTAAGCTAATACACATAAAGCTCCCTGCTCTTCTGGGCGCCTTCATTAAAAATACAAGGTTGCCAACACTCCCTTGGGTGTTCAACAAGCCAAAACAAATCATACTTCATAAGGAGACCATAGAACGGTTGCAACTCACAATCGTAACAATAACAACAACAATAATAACACCTACCTCAACTTCAACAAAATAGTTAACAAGCAACCACAATAGCCATGACAATCACCACAATGATAACAAATAACTACAATCTTAATTAATACTTACCACCATAAGAAGAAGAATGGCAATAACCACAATGCGAACAATAAAGTTAGGATGTTCCTCCTGGCACTAACAGTCCTTCATCGGGAATATACCAGGGGGTACTATAATCCCTATTAAGCACTGTGAGTATAAGGGGGAACATCCCAAGAATGAAGGGAACCCTAAACCCTAAACCCCAAACCCTAAACCCTAAACCCTAAACCCTAAACCCTAAACCCTAAACGGTGAGTCGCCTCTCTGGATGGGCGCAGGTGCGGGCTAGGCTATGCCTTCCTAGAGAAGATCACAGGGCTTCGCTTCGCTCAGACAGAGAGGAGGACACGCTGCCTCAAAGGTGCTCCCGGTTTAGGGTTCAGGGTTTTTGGGGTTTGGGGTTTAGGGTTTAGGGTTCAGGGTTTAGGGATTAGGGTCTAGGGTTTAGGGGCTCCGAGTTGAAGAGGTCATTTGAAAACTCTAAGCCCTCAAACCTAAACCCTGTAAACTCTGTAAGCCCTCAGCCCCATAGGTTCCGAGTTGAGGAGATACGAGTTTTGGATGTGGGGTTTAAGGCTGAGGGCTTGGGCATGTCAGGTTTAAGACCTCGACGTTTAGGACTTAGGGTTTGTGGTTTGCTGCTGCTTGGGGTTTCGGGTTTCGGGTTTAGGGGCTAGGGTTGAAGGCTTACTGCGGTTTTGGGTATAGGGCTTAGGGTTGAGGGCCCCGGGGATTCAAGCTCCTAGAGTCTTTGTATCCCAGGAGGGAAAAGGGCAGCCTCCTCCTTTTCCCTAGATTAAGGAGAGATCTCTACCCTCGAAAAGGCAATGAGGGTGCTACTGGGATTCCTCCTAAACCCTCAACCCTAAACCCTAAACTTTAAACCCCAGACCCTAAAGCCTGAAAAGCCTAAACCACAAACCCTGAACGCCGCCACGCTCTGTTAAAGCTCAAAGAACTCGCTTTGAAGGCATTCAACGCTGCGACCCAATAGCCCCCCCATGAACATCCTGACTGCGGCTAAAGACGGCAATTCCCCAAGGTTCAGGGTTAGGGTCTAGGGTCTAAAGCCTTTAGGGTTTAAGGGTTTAGGGTTTAGGGTTTAGGGTTTAGGGTTTAGGGTTTAGGGTTAGGGTTTTGAGGGTCTGCAGGGTTTAGGGCTTAGGGGTTCAGGCCCTGAACCAGCCTTACCAAACTCAAAAGGATGGTCTGCCCCTCCCCCAAACCCTATAATCCCTTGACCCAGGGTTTAGGGTTTAGGGTTTAGGGTTTAGGGTTTAGGGTTTAGGGTTTAGGGTTATCTATATATATATATATATATATATATATATTCACCAAGCCTCAAGCAAGGCCCCTTACAAACCCCAAAGAACGCCAAACTGCCCAAAACCCTGAAACCAAAAAACCCTAAAACCCTTAGCCCTGAGCCCTGAGTCCCAAGCCCTAAACCCTAGACCCTAAGCCCTGAACCCTAAACCCTAGACCGTAAACGCTAAAGTGCCCAAACCCTAAGGACCCTAAGCCCTAATCGCCCCCCAACCCAAACCCTAAACCCTAAACCCTAGACCCTAAACCCTCAAAAGCCCAAACCCTAAGGACCCTAAGCCCTAAACCATAAACCCTAAACCCTAAACCCCCAACCACCCCAGAAAGCCCCTGGCTGACGTAGGACAGATCCGGGAACTCCTTTCGCGTGTGGGGAGACTTGTCGGATCGGTGCTGGGGTTTAGGGTTTAGGGTTTAGGGTTTAAGATTTAGGGTTTAGGGTTTAGGGTTTTGGGCTTGGGGTTTAGGGTTGACCTGGGAAGAAACGAAGGTTACTCTTGCTAATAGCAGACCCACCGGGCGTCCTAGCAGCTGTCGGAAATTTAGTTTCCCGGGCTTTCAGGGGCTTCTAGGGTTCATGGATCTGATAGGGTTTGCAGGGTCTTTCCGGGTTTAGGGGCGGGTTCAGAGAGCTCGCGCGGTTCAGGAAGCTCAGGAGTTGTGGCATGGAACGGCTCTGTAAACTAAACCCTAAACCCTTAACCCTGAACCTTTCTAAACCCTAAACCCTAAACCCTAAACCCTAAACCCTAAACCCTAAACCCTAAACCCTAAACACCAAAATGCGCTACTTGCCCGAAGGCTCCTTCTGGAGGTAGGAGTTGCCCATGGACTGGATTGCGCCCTGGTTGGGCCTCTCACGATACTTGCCTCGGCTTTTTTTGGGGTGTTTTTTGGGGTTTAGGGTTTAGGGTTTAGGGCGTGTTTGGGTTTTAGGTTTAGGGTTTAGGGTGTACTTTGTAATTAAAACCCCAAAACCCACACTTAAACCGCACTGATTGCTTGATCGGTAGGGGTGGGGGAGGGGTTTGGGCTTGGCGTTTTCTAGGGTAGGTGCCCAACCCGGGAACGTAGGGCTACCCTTTTCGGTTGTAATGGGGATACAAGAGAACAAAGCCCCCTGAACCCTAAAACCTAAACCCTACACCCCCAAAAAGCGGAACAAGGGCACTGTGGCACCTAGCCGTAAAGCATCAGTGCCAGGCGGCTCTGAATTTGGTTCACCACATCCATGCCGTCGCCCAGGACCTGCGCAGGAACTTCATAAAAGGCTCTGGGATGATCAGGTTTAGGGTTTAGGGTTTAGGGTTTAGGGTTTAGGGTGTTATTATTTCATGGTTTAGGAGCCCTTCGCCTGGATCCAGAGCATGCCGTGAAACACACGACTTTTGGGCGCCTTACGGTGGCTCTAGAGTGCTTAGGGTTCCGGGGATTTGGCTAGGGTTCAAAGGTTTCAGGGTTTAGGGGTGTAGGGGTTTAGGGTTTAAGGTCTAGGGGAGGGGTTTAGGGTCTTACGCTTTCAAGGGGGTTGGGGAACTGATGCTTCGGGCGTGTCGCGCAAAGAAGTATAAGCTTCGAGCTTGAAGCTACAAAGGGTTTTGAGGTAAACTCTAAACCCTAGATTCCGGCACAAGTTACTGCAAACAAAGCGCAAGCAATGCGTGATTCTTGCAGGGTTTAGTGCCTGTCGGGGTTTGGGTTTGTGTAGTAAACCCGAAAACCCTAAAACCCTAAAACCCTAAAACCCTAAAAACCCTAAAACCCCTAAAACCCTAAAACCCGAAAACCCTAAAAGCCTAAAAGCCTAACACCCTAAAACCCTAAAACCCTAAAACCCTACAACCCTAAAACCCTAAAACCCTAAAACCCTAAGCCCTAACACGCAAAAGAGGATGTAGCCCTCCAATACTTCAAGACAGCCCGGGTGCTTCTGCAAAGGGAGCGAAGCCCTGGTTGTCCAGGAAGCTGTTGTCCTGGTTTTAGGGGTTTAGGGCTTAGGGTTGAGGGATTTTTGTGGGTTTCGTCTTTTTTTTGTTGGGAAGGTTTAGGGTTTGTAGGGTTTAGGGTTGTCCTCGTATGCTCTTCGGGTCGTAGGGTTTTAGGTTTTTAGGGCTTCAGGGTTTTCGGGACTAGGTTGTCGGGTTTTTGAGATTCTTCGGGGGCTTCGTATGCTGAACCTCCAAGTTCGGGAGCATGTTTATAGGCGCTGGGGAAGGGGAGTGTTAGAACGGTGACAGAGGGGCTTGCAGAGCTGTCTACAAAGGTTTGTTTTGCGGGGAGGGGGTTTATAATAGGGGTCTTAAGTTGGGATGTTCCCCCTTATACTTAGAGTCCATTCTAGGGATTGCAAAAGATAAGCATTTTAAAAAGGGACCTGCTTTATGGTTCTTGTGGGGCAGGTGTTTTGAACAACTACCATCTTGCCTATCTCGGGTCGAAGTATCCACTCTGGGCGTCAGTGATCCAAACATAATCCCTAAACCCCAAACCCAAAACCCAGTTTCCTTCTTGGGTGGGCCGTATCTGATCAGGGACCCCAACCGGTTTGGGGTCTGGCAGTATGACAACATAGACCATCTGGGAAGCAGGGTCTACTGTTTGTTTGCAAGCGACCTCCGTTTCCTGGCGCTTTCTCTTGCCATGGTGGTATCGCTTCTCCTTCTGCTTCTCCTTAAGGCTCGCTCACGAGGGCTTGTTTCGTCCCAGTCGAAGTCAAAAGGCATCTCCTGCAAAATCGCTTGCAAGAGCTTGGCCTGGGCAGGGTCGTCGGCATTCAGGCACTCCATCTGAGCCACCTCGTAACCTTTGATCGAATGCAAATATTTCCGGCGATTGGGAATTTCAGGATACTTGTAGCTGGAAGGAGACACATCCATGCGGCCTACCTCCACCAGAAAATACTGTTAACCTTCTAAGAAAAGCCTAAACTTGGAAAAGTCCCCCCTTATGCTACGAGTCCTGAGTGGGGTACATTACTGCATACTAAGGACTGTTAGTATAAGGGTGAACATCCCTAAGCCCCAGACCCCAAACCCCCATACCCTAAACCCTAAACCCTTTGTCCGGTCCGCGGTGTTGATGAACAGCTGCGTCGTGCGTGTGTTGGGGCCGGCGGTGGCGAAGGTCATGCGGCCGATCCTGTTGCCCTTCAGGACCTGTCCATGGAGCGGTTAAGGTTTAGGGTTTAGGGTTCTTAGGGCATCCTTCTTTTTGTTGGGTGTGCTAGAAAAACCTGAGCCGCCCCCCCCCAAAAAAAAACACAGATGAGGGCCCACTCTGGGTGCTCGTTACTTTGGGTTTGGGGTGAAAATCAATGTTCAGGTCTGCCCGCCAGGACCTAAACCCTAAACTCTAAACCCTAAACCCTAAACCCGTCCATAAGTCTGCCCAGCAACCTATCGATGAGAATGGCGCACTTTTCTTAGTTTTGCGGCGTTTGCTTCTAGGGAACCTAAACCCTAAACCCTAAACCCTAAACCCTAAACCCTAAACCCTAAACCCTAAACCCTAAACCCTAACCTTCAAACCCGAAACCCTAAACCCTAAACCCTAAACACTAAATCCTAAACCCCCAAAAAAGGGGGGAAGAAGTGCGGTGCTGGGCATAGATGGAGCCTTATGGTTTAGTGAAGGAGGGTCTGTGGATTTCGGCTTGTGAGACTGTCAGGTGGGGGCTTACTCTGGCGTTAAGGCTCGGTAGCCAGGTAGCAGGGTTTAGGGTTTAGGGTTTAGGGTTTTCATATATAATAAGGGCACCCTTTGTCAGGTTGGTGACTGTTTTGGGAAACCGAGAACCCAAAAACAAAGAGGGTAAAGGGCACCAGGCTGCCAAGAAGCGCTCAGGGTGGCAACCCACCTACTGTTTGCTTAAGAACCCCAAAAGAATAAACAATAATAATCCCTATGTTACCCTTAATAAGGAAGAACATTTTGTATTTGTTGGGGGTTCTTAAGCAATTCGCAGCCACAGAGCCTTGTCATCTGGGATGGTCTTCTGGCGCCACTCGCCGGCAACCTCATGCGACAGCTCGGGTGTAACGTTGGACGGCAACTGTATCATCTGAGTTGTCCAGTAACCTGGGGGAACTAAAGGTTAACCTTTCAGATTAGGTGTCCAGTAACCTTGGGGAACTAAAGGTCAACCTTTAGGATTATAGGGGTATTATATTCCCCCAAAAAGGCTAAACAAAGATTACCTACTCTGCTACTAGGTCAATCCGGAGCCGCAGAAAGAAGGCGCCAGAAACTCCGCGTACCTACACATTAGGTTGTCTGTATCCTTTGCTTGTGGGCTCAGGGCTCAGAGCTTTGTTGCACCAACGTTGCTCTGCAAAAGCATCATTCCCAGGGTGTGAGGAATTCTGAACCCCAAACCCGAAGTATCACGGAGACCCAGGTATGGGCTCAGCTCAACACACAGGATTCCACCATACAAGACTCTCAAGTCCCTAAACCCTAAACCCTAAACCCTAAACCCTAAACCCTAAACCCTGAACCCTGAACCCTGAACCCTAAACCCTAAACCCTAACTAACAAGCAAACACATCTTTGGCCCCCAGCTGTCGGGTTGCCAGGGATGCCGAACTGCACCATGAAGTTAGGCACCACCTGGTGGAGTTAGGAGGGTTATGGTCTTGTGGTTTAAGGTTTAGGGTTTAGGGCTTGTGGTTTAGGGTTTAGGGTTTAGGGTTTAGGGCTATGCGCTTATGGTTTAGGGGGTTATGGGGTTTTAAGGTTTCGGGTTTAGGGGGTTATGGGGTTTATGCGGTTTAAGAGGATTCGTGTTCAGGGCTTATTTAAGGTTTCTAGGGTTTCGGGTTTGTGTACATTGTGGGTCCCCAAAAGAATTCGGGAAAGGAATTGGGGGGTGTGCGGGTTTGGGGGTCCGTGTTTTAGGTACAGGTGACGGAGTGTTGCTCCTCGGCTTCAGGATTTGAGCTCGAGTTCGCGGGTCTAAGCGATTAGAATGCAAAACCACTCGGGTTTAGCACACAAGTTGCCTTTGGGGCCTAGGATGGACCATCATCTTCTGCCTATGACGCCAAGATCCAGGTGCGAAAACCCGAATTACCAAAGATAGAACGAAGGGTTTAGGGTTTAGGGTTTAGGGTTTAGGGTTTAGGGTTTAGGGTTTAGGGTTTAGGGTTTAGGGTTTAGGGTTGAAGACCTCAAGGTTGCTGCCAAAGGAAAAAGACCCAACCGACAGGGTGGAAGGTCGAATGAAGGGTGACAAGAAAGCTGGGCGAAAACGACACTCCAGATACAGGTCGTGAATTTTGGCTAAGGGTTTAGGGTTTAGGGTTTAGGGTTTAGGGTTTAGGGTTTAGGGTTTAGGGTTTAGGGTTTGGGGTTTGGGGTTTAGGGTTTAGGGTTTAGGGTCCCACCCGGAAGAAGCGGGCGCCGGTCAGCACTGAGCCGCTGTGGACCATGTCCTTTGGGGGCTCTTTCGGGCTTCTTCTCACAACCGCAAGGTTTACTGGCTTAGGGTTTAGGGTTTAGGGTTTAGGGCTGGCTGGTTCTCAGTAGGGAATGAGGGAACTAGGCCCCCTATAGAGTCCCTTAAAGGGTATAAACTAGGGCCCTCATTCCCTCATCCCCTCTAAGAACCAGGGGGTATGTTTCATGCACCTACGGGTTCATGTACTGAAATGGGGAATACTTGAAGTACCTCCTATAGAGGGACTGTTGGACCCAAGTTTATGATAACACGGTGCATGGACCCAATGGACCCTAAAATTACACTATACAAAAAAGGGCCCATACTTCGGAGCCCTATAAACAAGGGTAAGGGACCATGCTAAGGGCCCATGGTGCCAACCTTAGAAAGTCCGGTGTGCGGGACCTCCCGCGTTCTATGGCAATGGGTCCAACCCAGATGCCTTCTCTCATCAACACGGGAGCTGTGCTGGGTTCAGGGTTCAAGGTTCAGGGTTTAGGGATGTCCTCAACTTGGCAGGTGTATGGGCGATGTCCCTGCCCTTCCCCCCCCCCCGCCCCACCCAAAAAAAAAAAAAAAAGTCCTGGAAGCGCTTCGCACCCTCAGGCGCCCAGTCCGGATGGACGCGGACAGTGAAGGTCGCCTGTCGGGGTGTGGGGGTTGGGTGGTAGTCCCGAACTCTTGATCTTGCGACTTGGGAACTCACAACCCTTGGAACGTTTAGGGTCCCGGGAAACTCAAGCCCTAATCTGTGCACCCTAAACCCTAAACCCTAAACCCTAAACCCTAAACCCTAAACCCAGAGCCCTAAACCCCAAAACTCTCTAAACCCCACACCAACGACTCGCCTGATCACCGCCTTCCTGGCCATCAAGGTCGATGTTGAAGGTGGCTTCCCATGGCCTTATCTTCATGGGCATCCGCTGGCTTCCGGTTCAGGGGTTTGGGGTTTGGGGTTTTGGGTTTGGGGTTCAAGGGCTTCGGGTCCTAGGGCCACTTCGGTTGCAGGGCTCTGGGGATTAGACTTTGCCCGCAACGCACCAGCACCAAAATAGAATAGAATCCCCCTCAACAAGGACGCCCTCAAACAGTCCCCCAACTGGCGGAAACCTCCGAGCTGGGTAATTGTGGGGCGGTGTGTATTCTCCTTGTCGATGGGCTACTGCGGGATGGTGCTGGAACTAGTCAAGCTCCGGAAAATGTGTCCGGTCCAGCTCCGATCGACATGATGCCAGCTTCCGCGAGGAGACACTCCATGAACTCAGGGCTCCTCAAGGCTCCTCTAACCCTAAACTTACAGAGTTCTTAAGGGGGTAGGTAACCCAAGGTTCCCTAATACTCCCCGCGACTCCCCAAGGCTCCTCTAACCCTAAACCCTAAACCCTAAACCCTAAACCCCAAACCCTAAACCTAAACCCTTTTGGAATTTGAACCCAACGGCCTTGCAAAGGGACTTGAGGGTCTTCGCCAACCTAGGATCACCGAAGCCCTAAACGGCCCTAAGCCCCTAAGCCGCAAATAAACCCTAAACCCTAAACCCATAAAGCCTAAAACCCTACCCTCAGCCCGAAACCCCTAACCCCTAAACCCTACACCCCTAAACCCTAGACCGGAAGCCCCTAAACCCAAAGCCCCCAAAAACCCTAGACCCCTAAACCCCTCAACCCCAAAACCCCCACCTGGGCCGCCAAGCTCAGTTGCAAACCCTAAACCCTAAACCCTAAACCCTACACCCCTAAACCCTAAACCCTAAACCCCAAGACCCCCTTCACCTGGGCCACCAAGCTCGGTTGCATAGGCCACGCCTGAGATGTCCGCAGACGAAGACTTGGCCACCGAGACGAGCACCGACACCAGGGCCACGCTCCTGGGAGACGGGCGTGGGGTTTGGGGTTTGGGGTTTGGGGTTTGGGGTTTGGGGTTTGGGGTTTGGGGTTTAGGGTTTCGGGTTTCGGGTTTAGGGTTTCCGGGTTCAGGACTTAGGGGGGGGGGGGGTTGATGCTGTGGCTTCGGGCGTAGGACACCTCACGGTGGCGAATGGCTGCGCTGGCCGCCACGTTTCTTGGTTGGGTTCGATGGGTTCGGATCTTGGCTTGAACATGTGAGAAGACGGTGCGGGCGATTGATTTACATCATCAAGATTTCGGGGGGGCATGGGATCATGTGCATAAATCTCGTGCTTGAGTATATGCACCTGATCAGCCCTAAGGGACCCCAAGCCGTAGAGCCTAAAGCCCTTCGCTGGACCGAAGAGTAATTTCAAAATACTTTATCGGTTAAGACAGAGTTATAGAGGGCCAAGAAGTTCATGTAAAGTCACAGGGTTTACCATCGGGTTGCAAGTCCTAGGGAGACTCTATTAACTTGTTGGCGATGTTTTTGGATATACTCCCCCCCCCCATTCCGAGAAGGCCTAGAAGCCTTAAACCCTGAACCCTAAAAACCCTAAACCCTAAACCCTAAAAACCCCCAGCGGGGTCTATGGCTTCCTGCAAGCCCGAGGTTCTTCCACATAGCCGCAAAGAGTTGTTAGTGTTAAAAGCGAGGAGAGCGCCGAGGGCCAAAAGACTTGGGGGGTAGATGGCTGGAGCTTTGGAGCCAAGGGGCAGCAGGGTTCGGGGTTTAGGGTTTAGGGTTTAGGGTTTAGGGTTTAGGGTTTAGGGCTTGGTTTTTCGCTAGAGCTTTGGAGCCAAGGGGAGGGTTCGGGGTTTAGGGTTCGGGGCTTGTTTTCTTCTTCTTCTCCTCCGGGCTGTATAGGGTCTAGGGTTTAGGTTTGGGGCGGATTGGCTCATAAGCTTTCCACTCCCGGAGGCGCTGAAAGGTTGATCCTAACGCCAAATTTAGAGGTTTTTGGGTCCTTAGGGTACAGATTACGGGTTTTTGGGGTTTGAGGTTCGAGGTTTGGCGTCCAGGGGAGAGGGCGGAAAGGGCTCAAGGCCTAGATGGGTTTAGGGTTTAGGGTTTAGGGCCTTGGATCTAGAACTTGAAGCCCCTCCTGCAAAACCCGACGACAGAACCTATCCAGAGGCTTCCGTAGATAACGAGCTATTGGGGCACGGAAAGGACCATGCTGCCGCAACACGGAAGGGAATTCTTGCAACATGCAGGCCAAGGCTCTTGAAGATGCGCGTGCCTACCCATAGACCCTTGCCCTCCCCCTTACGCGTAGGCTGTGCAAACTGCTCTCAGGAGAACCCCAGGACACACGTTCAAGCTTTTCTTCAGCTGCGTCAGCCAACCAACAAAAATCGCAAAAGAACCTAAACCCTAAACCCTAAACCCTCAACCCTCAACCCTAAACCCTAAACCCTAAACCCTAGATGAAGCCTGACTGGGCATCTTTCTTTTTCGCCAGCCGGGGGTCTGCGCACACTCCCGTCTGATGAAAGTCTGCAAGAGACTGACGCACAGCAGGCATCCAGGGAAATGCGTTCGAACTACAGGTCAGAGAGAAAGAGAGAGAGAGAGAGACTCTTGGCTTAAAAGCAAAGTAGTAGTTCATGCTTATATGTACTCTATATATCTATATATGTATATACTCCGTATTCTTTCATTATCGTTATGGTTATTGACCTATATATATATATATATACACTACCCCGCCGCCAAAATTTCTGCTAAAGCTGCTGAAAGCCATTTTAAAGCTAACACACGCAAGATGTTGATTTCCCTAGACTGCCGGGGTCACGCGCGCCGCTCAGAACAGCATGGTGCACTGCTCTCTTTCGCGCTGCGCCTAGATCGGATGACGCGGATGGGCGCAGCGGGCCACTGAGGGAACCCCCTAAATGGGCCCTAGTATCTCTCAAGCCCTAAGCCCTAAACCCTAAGTCACCCAAGCAGAAACAGCAGGATCCAGCTTTCTCTCTAACCCCTAAGTCCCTAAGCCTAAACCCTAAACCCTAAACCCTAAACCCTAAGCCTACACCTCAGACACCCAGCAGTTGAGGTGGCGGGCTTCGGGGCGGGGATTCAACCGGGAGCCCCTGGTGCAAAGAGCCAAAGGCATGACCCTAAACCCTAAACCCTAAACCCTAAACCCTAAACCCTAAACCCTAAACCCTAAACCCTGACAGTGTTTAGTAGAGTTGGGCTGTGAGTTTAGGGTTTGGGGTTTAGGGCTCACGTGTTTTGAGTCAGTCCCAGCACTGAAACATGCAGAGGCATATGTGAGTATTCTTGGGGTCTCCATTATGTTCTTTTTCACATAGCTTAAGGTCCAAGATCCTAGCTTAGAAGAAACCCTAAACCCCAAACCCTAAACCCTAAAACCCTAGCCCACCCCCCAACCCCATGTAGATGTGCGTGGCAAGGGGGAAGATGATGCCCTTGCACCCTCAGCAGGACCCCGTAGTCCCGAGAGCGCGGCGTTCTCCATGTGCTGGTAGATGATGGTTACAGCCAACCTGAGGAGATCGTGACCCCAACCCCCAAAACCTAACCCCCCCCCCAACAAAACTAAACCCTACAACCCTAAACATCAAACAAACGAAACCGGACCCCCCAACAAAATAAACAAGTAAAAATCGCAGAAAACTATATAAAATAATATGTATATATATATATATGTATGTGTTTTGAATAAACCCTAAACCCAACAACCTTCAGGAGACTATGGCCTAAACCCCAAACCCCCCAAAACCTCAATTCTAAACCCTCAAGCGAGCTTGGAAACCACGCCGAATGACCCTACATATCAGACCCTACACCTTGAAGCTTGAACACTTAGCTCCCATCTTAGTAGGGACTTCGGGTCCCAGGCTCTACCCAAGGGGTAGTCATTAGCGGGCTCTGAGGCCCTTGAGTCCTCAATTCCCTGCTAAGAACTGGCAAGACGTTCCTAAAACCTGAGTTCGGCATCATGAGCCGCCCTAAACCCTAAAACCTAAACCCTAAACCCTCCCTAAACCCTGAAAGCTATGGGCATCTCGAGGCCCGTGCAAGATGCCGGTTCCGCTTCCTATCGCCCCCAGAAAATCGGCGACGATGGTTAGCCTCAGTTTTAGGGTTTAGGGTTTAGGGTTTAGGGTCCATGGCATTGAATGGTTTTGGGTTCGTTGTTCAGGGTTTAATAGGGTTTAGGGTTTAGCGTTCAGAGTTTTATAGGGTTTAGGGTTTAGGGTTTTGGGTTCAGCGATTGTAGATCTTTGAGTTAGCTTTAAGGCCCAAACCATGCAATTGAGACTGGAAAGAGCGTTGTTCATGCTTTGCAGCAGGTTCGTCTAAGAGTCATCCACCCCTGCACCAGGATGCGTTCAGGCGTTCCGGGTCTGAGCTATGACTATGCCCTCCTTTCTTCCGCATGGCCTGACTTGGGGCTTCCTGACACCTTCTACAAAGCCTACAGCCTGAAACCTAAACCCTAAACCCTAAACCCTAAACCCTTAACCCTAAACCCTAAACCCTCACCCTCAACATGCAGAACATACCAGCCCTCTGGTGGGCCCTTGATGGTTGGAGGGCTAAAAAGGGCCACGAAAAGCGGTTCTTGAGACCCCCCCCCCCTGGTTCTTCGTATGGACTGAGGGAATGATGGCCCTATTGTTTTTTTTTTATTCTTAAATACCCTTTAGGGGATATCATAGGGCCCGAATTCCCTCCTTCCCTAGGAAGAAGTGTTCTTGAAGATGGCAGCCTAGCCGCATGCCGATGCACATGCCGCCGAAGGCGGCCGCTATGGGCACGTACCTCTCCACATAGGGTTTAGGGGTTTAGTGTTTAGGGCTTATAGGGTTTAGGGTTTAGGGTTTAGGGTTTAGGGTTTAGGGTTTAGAGCTGGGCTGTCCGGGAACCGAATTCATTGCGTTGCCATCGTAAGGAACCTCCATTGTGACTTGATGTGGGGCTTCCTAAATTCGGGGTATCTTTTGAATTGGGGTCCCCTATTTTCGGAACCCCCCATATCCAGTTCCGGCAGCTTAAACTAAAGCAGCAGCAACCACGATAATGATTCCTGAGTCCATCCTGACTGCCAAGCCCCCACCCCGTCCCGCACCTCGAGAGAAGCAAGGCGTGAAACTCGTTGATCTACCTAGACCCCCCCAAAGTACCCCTGTAGGATACCCAAGATAACTTGTTAAGGTACACCCAGGACCTTGGTCCAGATAGACCCCTAAACCCTAAACCCGAAACCCTTGCTAAGCAGGCATTTGGGGTAAGGGGGAATATCCCAGCTTTAGCCCCCTAAAAGTTGACCGCATCCCATTTCCTCCCTGAGCCTTACACTGCACAGAAGTTAGTGTAGTCCTCAAGAACCCGGGCTCGCAGAACATGGGCCTACAGGGCTGCATGGGGGACCCCCTGGTTCTTAGTAGGGAATGAGGGAAATGAATTTAAAAACAAAAACCTTTAAGGCGTTATATATAGGACCCTAATTCCTACTAAGAACCAACCCGGGATTTGCTTTGGGGGCTACTGCCGCTCATGAAGTCCACGTATGTCCACGTGACTTCTGCCAGCGGTTTAGGGTTTAGGGTGTAGGGCTTAGGGCTTAGGGCTTAGGGCTTAGGGTTTAGGGCTCAGGGTTTTAGCTTTAGGGTTGAGGGCTCCGCGCGGGGCACAGGTTCAAGACGTGTAGGAGAGACTTCTCCCGGTAGCCTTTGAACCTCGGGCTCTTTGCGGGAGACAGCTGTCTGCAAGCTTACGAAACCCGAAGTCCTAAACCCTAAACCCGAAATCCTAACCCGAAACCCTAAAGCCTACATCCTAAACCCAAATCCGACATCCTGAACACTCTTGAGCACCAGGATCCACTGCTCTCGACCCTAGCCAGGCTTTACAAACCGACTAAATCACTTTGACTCCCAACGCGGGTGGCCCAGCCCTGACGTGAGCAACAGCAGCAGCATCTAAAACTCCCGCCGTAAAGCCCCAAAAACATAGAAAGCCCTAACAACCCTATACTCTGGACCCAAAACACTTAGCCCACATTCCCATGAATCCTTATTGTTTAGAGTTTTCAGACCCACATCACCCTCGTGCTCACTCTAATGCTCAGAAACAACTACACGTATGGTATGTTAAGGAGCTGTCAGTATAAGGGGGAACATTCCAATATAGACACATATCTCCAAGACCGCGCCCGCCCAGAGCTTCCTGTCAAGGGATTAAGACTCGTACCCCGAAGGTTGTACCCCTAAAGGTTCCCTTAATATACTCCTAACCCTAACTATACTCCCCCTAGGACCTTAATTAAAATAACATTTTCAATATCCTCTTGGGTTTTATATAAACAAAATTTAAACTTAAAAAACTCCCAAGGGGGATATAGCTAGTGGTCCATGTACCTAAATAGGGAATACCTTGGGCCTTAAAGTACCTCCTATAAAGGGACTTTGGGGCCCAAGTACATAGTAATGAGGTACGTGGACCCTTAGGGTAATATGGCCCTAAGGTTGTACCCCCTTACGGTTTCCCTGAATATACTCCCAATATGGCCCTCATATTCCCTTAGAGGATCTTCAAACCCTAAACCCTAAACCCTAAACCCTAAACCCTAAACCCTAAACCCTAAA